AGGGGGCGCGAAGTGGATTTACGTGGAAACATACTACTAGCATGTCCTTTATCAGTAGCACCACCGTTACAATGGTATATCTGACAGAAAGCTTGGGACGCGGGCTAAGTAACGTTTTCCCAAACGTTTACACCTTTATTTGTGGTGTGAATGGTAATTTTGTTTTTCAGACGGCAAAAGGTTTGGTTCATCGATCACAGAGCAATTGATGCGACCAGTTATAGCCGTGTTATGCATTAATCAGACAGACGGATCTCTCGGCGCCTCGTTGATTAATCGGCCGAGGCTGGTGCTATGATCCGGAAAGACCAATCAAAATCTCGTTGGCAGGGTCACGTCCTACTGTAGCTAGTTCACACCGTGTGCGGAAATTCAGTAACCATGTTTTCCTCATTATACTGTTCAAACTGTTAACACGAGTAGCGAGCATCCCACGGAAGTCGGGAAAGTTCTCTCACTCACATAACCAAGAGTTATGGTTATGCCACTGGTTGTGGCATGATGACCTGCGTGTACCTGTGATTCTATTCACCATCTACATCTTATGGAGGCTGATTGTTAAACAACCGCAACAAGACACGGTTGTGTAAGTCCGTCGATTTTGTCATCAAACCGTCACACCGATTTTCGGTAATCGTGTTTCGAAAAGTCCTTTTCTCCAGTCGAAGTAAACTTGCAAAGAAACCTCACTGAGCTGAACTATCCAGGCGTGTGTTGCTCCGAAAAAATGGGACAGGTCATCAGTTGATTTTTTCAACATCCGTCAATTTTTTCCCTAAGCTGTTGCTGCTGGCATCACTTCATCCGTACGTCTCTTTCTTCTGAATGATTTAATCGCTTTTTTCTCTCATGAACAGGTACAACTCATCTGTACACGTCAACTGTCCGTCAACTCATCTGCCACTTTGAATGTCAACTCAGTGATCCATGTGGAATCGAAATCACACAACAGCTGACAGCGTGGATTATGCATCCATTTTATGGAATTCGTGCCTGTCTTCGAGGAATCTGGATTTCTTCCAATAAGCTGTTTCAACCAATCAGGTTGCAGAACGCTGCAGACCAGATTATCCAATAGCGTTCAAGTGCAACAACATCCTCTTTAAAACCCCTGCAGAAAATATTGAAATTCTTGCTTAGCCGTGGCTTATTTTGTAACTAGTTTTGCACGATTTGCCCTTTTGTCTACAAAAAATGGTAGGATAAAAATTCGATGGTAACCTTTGTTATACCTTGGTGTGATAGTTGTTGGTTTATTCGCGCTTTCCCAGTCACTTGGAAACGTCACGTTCAGATGGTCCACACAAAAAATGCATCCCGTAGATCCGATTGTATCCTATTGAAAGGAACAATGGGTTCCTTGTTCGTTTGTGAAAACTGTCTACTATCCGACAATCTAGATTGTCGTTCTTGTCCCAGAATTCCACCGGCAATTTATGTTGGTGATTCAATAAGCTGCTATCGTCATTCGCACCGCAAGCGTCAACTCAAAGACGAAAGCATGTCAGCTGTTTGATTTTTCACTGTTATCGCGATGCGCTGCTCCAGTCAGGTTGACCTCAGAGTTAAAACTTGCTTAATCATAGTTCGTCCAGATTCCTTCGGCGATGCCGTTGCTGTCGCAAATGCTTTACTCTGTCCTTGTTAGCGGTACCCTCAGCTCCCTACGATGCAGAGCTTGTGAGTCAGGTGTATCACGTTGAGTGATGTGCAAACCAAAAGTGCATACAACCAACTTCGACAAATACGTTCATTTGCAAATCAATTTGGTTTTCGCGAAAGGCTCAACTGGATCTCTCGTTTATGTCATTCTTCAAGTAGAACATAAGGCTGACAGAAACTCGGGGACTGCGCCTACCTGATGAGCTCCAAGAAGGCGAAACCGGTCGTGGACTATCGAGGAGGTTTCAGCAACATTATGAGTAGTTTGTTTTATGCATGAAAACCATCTTCGAATGAGCACCTAATTTCCTAGGGGGTAGCATAGCACAAGCTTCTGGTCTGCACGCCTAGCGGTGGTCTGTTGTATGAACATCTTGTGTGTGTGTGTGTGATAACGTAGGTGCGACCAACTGCTCGCTAACTACTCAACTCTGCTTAATCCCGACTGTCCCAATGGGGAGCACCCATCGTTTGTCGCTAGTGCCAATATTTCTCCAATAATCCTTAGTTCTGTAACAACCAAAAGTCCTGACGAGGTGAACAACGCCACTGCAAAATGTGAGACCAACGGAGCGTCGTTTTGTCTTACCCACAGGGCCTTTGCATGATCACTCTTCTAGTAAGTTCTACGAACTACGAATAAAAAGCTGAAACTGTGTCATGAAGGACTACAAAAGAGGACAGGTTTTGTTCACCGGAATCTCATCAAGGACAGGTTTGTTCACCGGAATCTCATCACGCTGGACAAAGTATCAAGATAAAACGACACAACTTTAGTCGCTATATCACTCTAGTGCATGCATTGAGGAAGGAATTGTGCTTCGGAAGCCAATTGGGGTGTGATCATATCAGGAATGTCAGCTTCCTGGAAGCAACAACTTAATGCCCGAAATCTACCGAGACCCTCAGCTCCGCTAGATGTTGACCAGACAGACAACGCCCCCTCAATATGCAGCGCGTCACAGCCTTGCATCAAACCCAGACAGCGTGAGTCAGCGTTGATCAAGGTCAGACAACGCTCCCGCAATATGCAGCACGTCGCTGCCAGACCATGCGCGTCAGCATTGGACCTAGTTCAGACAGTGTCCTTCCAATAAAAAGCTTGAGGCCGTTGTACTTTTCGCACTCGCACGCACTCACGCTCTCGCACTCGCTTTGTTGGAATATAATTATTATGTTCCCTTCCGTGAGTCTTTTCTCTCCGACACTAGGCACTGGAGCGGGTCAGCAGCAGATACCTCAGATTGGCGAATCAGCGGATAAACAAGAACAGCAGGCAAAAATCATTTAATTCTATTCAAAATCTGGAGTCTGCAGACAAAACTGGAGACCCAGTTTCCAAGGCGAAAGTTTGTGAGCTAAAATAACTGACAGCTTGGTGTCGTGCGCAATATTGGCCAAATCACCTCTCGACTGATATCAAAACAGCTTTTAGGATGATTGAAAACTTTCAGAAATGCGACTGGTTGGAATGATCGATAAATTCGCTAAGAGTTTCCACGAACTACACGTTACTTACATACCACTCGTAAAGTCCAGTTCAACTGGTCACGACCAGTCAAGTGGCAACATCTCAGTGTCCCAGAGGTAGCTACTTAACTGCAGTCTAATTGGGGCTGGCTAGTTACTTCATTGTTCAGTTCGTTGGAAGTTTTTGTGATCTTGAAATGCCGGACAAATCAAATTTTTCAAACTACCAGATTTGCGTGATTGTTGAATCTTCTCGTCTTTACAGAGCTCTTCCTATGGCAAGCTGTCCAAAGGACACTTTCCAAAATAGAATGTACGGGGGTCTGATCAATCGAACATCAGCAGTGAATCCAAGACTTTTTTAGCAGTGACATGAGGCGAGGAAGGATATCCAGTAAGTTCGGATATGTCTGCCACTGAAGTGAATCAGTGAAGCTTACTCAATAGTAGTTGAACGGGTGACAGTTGATCTGTTCACCTTCCTCGACAATTGGCTTGCAAACGTTCTCCCAATAGTCGGGGAAGCACTATCATTGTGATCGCGTAAGATCCTATAGATTGGTAACAAAACTCTTGGAAGCGAACAGCCAGCAGATCAACTGCCAGAAAAGGCACCCAGGTTGCCAATATTTCGGTAAGTTACAAGTCTTTCCAATATCTTGTGCTCCGCATCTAGAATTATAAAGCTAGCGCATTCAATGAGGCCTGCCTAATTCTCATCCGGAGTCTGAAACCTCCACAGGGGATCAGTTGTTGCCACTTTCATGATGATGATGGGGCCGAGATGGACCAAGTGGATAGGGCGCGAATTTACTGACCGGAAGGTTCGTGGTTCGAACCCGACCTCTGCCTCCCGACTTCCCCTGTCTAGGCAACCTGGCAGTATCCCAGCCCTCCTGTCTCCTTCATGTTGCACGGCAGCTAGCCGCAGGAAGGGTGCTACGGCTGAGCGATTTTTTTACGGCAGTGAAGCATCGGTGTTGAACACTGATGTCATGCTGTCGATGATGATGACTTTGATTATAGATAATCCAGACGACTCTACTCTGTCCTATCTTTTTTCGTCAGCCATTCGGTTGCTACATGACCTTCAGTCATCAAGTACGCCTACGTGATGCGACTGAAAACCTAGGTCGAAGAGACTGATTTCTGAGCATCGTTCAGAGCGCGAATGTCAGGGCTACAAGTTGTTTATCGTGATGGAATTCCTTCAGTCGAATACATCTCATAATTCCTCTTCTAGTCTTTACCATGATCAGCCTATGCACACATTTTGGTGAATAATGCTCACTGTTGAAATAGTATTAGAAGCCCAATTGACTCTAACAGTATGTGACCAAAATAGCCAGTCTGTACTTGATACCCAAGGCGTGTATGGAAACTATGGAAACTGTGCACTAGCTACCGGTCTGTGTTGAAATGCGCTCAGAAAAGAACAAGGAAATATAATAATTCTAGGGAAAATGTTGGTCAATATATTTATCAACAACAGGGGCACCTCTTTAAAATTCTTTCGGATGTTACAAGACGTTGGAGGTATCTGACTTTACGCAGTTCGTTTTCAGTAGACTACGGACCGATGAGGGCAGTAGATTCTGCATTGAGAACTGGTTCTATGGACAGATGGGTGAATAAACACCGTGAATTAAGGGGAACGTGCAATGAACAATAGACAAATCGGGTGCGAGCGAGAAATGGGACGGTGAGGCAGTTGGGGGTTCTCTTTACTCATGGAGAAACCTGTGAGCTTAGTGCGACGTGAAACACTAGGCAACCTACAGGTTCTCCATAGAATTTCGAGTGCTCAAAGGAGGCTGTGATATCAAAAGACCCGGCCCGGCTTTTGCAAGATAGTTGTCAAGTGAGAGGCTTGGCTGAGAGAGACTTGGCTGTCCAGTGATTGGATTACAAGTGCGTGCGTCGTGCGTGCGTCGTGCGTGCGTCGTGGCGTAGTGTATGCGTCGTGCGTACGCCTTGCCTGCGTGCGTGCGGTATGCAGCGTACAACCGCAAGTCGTTAGTTTGCACGGCAGATACCCACAGTTTGAGTGGATCGAGGAAGTTGTGTTAAACATCAAGCAACGATCCAAAGAAAGTTGGACAAATGACCATATCATTGAACCTTGATAAAAAACGAATGAATCCATCAGCCTACATGAGTGCATACGAGACAGAGCAATTTCGCCTCGAATGCGACCCTGGAAAACACCCTCGGCACCAACTGAGATAACTGATAATAAATGGCGTGCAAGTGAAATGAAAACAAAAACCTTTCCCAAGGCGCCAAATTATTATGGCGTGTGATCATTCAGTGCCCTTTAAATCGCCTGTCCCGTTAAATCATTGTCATAACCGAATAGAGTCTCGTCTATAATTTACTCACCGCACAATATGAACAAACAGAATAATTTATCTATTCCGATAGTGCTTCGCCTTCTCGTGAAAGCCTATTTTTGTCCTGAGTATCCTGTCATATAGACACAATCAGTGTTCCAGGCGGATGAATGCTAGACATTTATTCCTGTCTTTGTCTCCTTCTGGTTTGATTTATCAATGTGGATAGGCAAGGACAATACCGGTCGACCATTCCAAGCCGAAAAACAAGAGGACACTGAATAATGCGCCGCAAAATATGGGTAAGCTGTGCGCGGCAAGCCTCACAGCAGTTTTGATTACGTGTTCAGATTTTCACTTTACTAGTTGTTACATTAAACGTTCTGTGATAGAAAAGCGTATGGACTCAACTTAAGTACAAAAAGGTTAGCTGGAAATTTGGTCACTGTTCACATTGTTCCTACCGGAGCAAGCCACAGACATGGTCTGGCGATAGCGCGGATCAGACTATCATTATAGGCTCGTTTATCTTTTATTATACAATCCTGAAGAGAACGAATGGAGCGACCTGCGATTCGGTAGACCAAATGTCTGATCCAAGGAATAACTGTGAGATTATACGGAATATCACCCAATGTGGTCAGTTTCACGGAGCATCTATCAAAGCTTCTAGCCTAGTGACTAAGGCACGTGACATCATTTTCGATCAGATGTTTTCCATAATCGCTGTTTTGTTGACATAAACAGAAATCCCGATGCAATCTGAGAGCTCTACTACAAATCGAGGTGGATCTTTAAAGTCGCCTGAACCAGCCGGCCAGTATGCACCTCCTTTGGAACTACGGAATAGCATACTGAATGAAAAACTGAGTGTGAGTAAAACTCAGAACAGATGGAAAATAATCCGCTCAGAATGTGTATCGATAATACTATGAACACACAAGTTGGCACTGGCGTAACTTGGCACAGTCAGGTGGCAGATTCATGTGACAAACTGCTGCGAAACCAAAAGAATTAAACCACACTCTGGAGTTTCAAACACGTCTAACCGAGTGCAGGAAAGACATTCACAACAAACCAGTCTTTCACTGAGCTCTTCTGTAAAAAACCTCCAATCTATACGGGTTCTTGGTCAGGAAGATGATAAGATAACCTAACCGATGTCTAGATCTTGAAACTGGCTAGTCCCAAGTATTCACATTTGCCTGAAGCTCATCTGCTCGAATGCTGATTGGTGCACCTTGGCTCGCATTCTTAGGCTAAAAGACATCACAAACCAGAGATTTAGCTAGGTTCCAGTTGAGTTTCCCGCAAAACCAAGTTGGTTTGCAAATGAGTGCACTTCGCTAATTTCATGCAATTTGGGCTCAAGTAGAACATAAAGTTGATGGAGACTCGGGGACTGCCCCTATCTGATGAGTCCCAAGAAGGGCGAAACCGGTCGTGGGCTATTGCAACCCTGTGAGTAGTGTGTCACGTCCATGGTTAACTTTGCTTATTTTATTCTGACACTGTGCCTCAAGTATGACAGGTCAGTGTTGTTCATCTGACTTGTGATCTGTCAAGACGCGCGCACTTTGAGTCAGTTCATTTCAGATTTGTGCGCAACTCACCGCATTGGTGTATCCGAGTCACTCACCGTCTGGGATTTTCCAAACACTCGGCCTTGAATCTGTTATCAAACTATTATTCCAAATCGAAGCTGCTGAGAATTTGCAACTTGACCTAATGCCATCTACTGATTGGTTCAGACTACTTTACTTCCGGTGAATTTCGCTAGGGTTAAGCCGTTTCTCTAACCGTCCCACATGGTACTTCACGACAAAGGTTTACTCACAGATCTGGTAAAAAAACCAAATATGTGCCTCGTTTGCGGTCAATAACCCCTCTATTTCCGTCGCATTCCAAATGAATATGGGTACCATGTCGACCAAAAAGCAAATACCAAGAGGCCTCCCTCACACTGGACGTCAATCATCCTCATGTGATGCTGGAAAGTATCGTGGTAACTAATGTTGTAAAAAAACCTGCAATCTTTTTCCCAAGCGAATGCAGGTGCACAAGCAGACAGACGCGGTAGTTCAGACATACGTCGAAATGATAACCGATAGTTGCGGTTGAACAAGAGGCACATTCGCAGACATTGGGGAGGTTATCAGGCCCATGATTCATTGTTCGGTGCATTTGGCTTATCTGATTATGTCATCCGACTGCTTTCACGCAAATGGTTTTTTGGGCTGTTCAATCTGTCCCAGCAATCTCAACATGTGTATCGATTTGGTCCACATTGTTTGGGAGAGGACAAAAGGAGCATTCTGGGGAAAAGCACTAGTAATACTCAACGCGATCAAAACGCATACTAGAGTTTGTTGAATCTGCTCGGTATAGGCTCCCGTATTTGTTACAAATCTGGACGTACTGGGCGCTTTGCTGTCTGAACATCATAAAGCAATGTAAATGCGGCAAACAAGCCTCATCGTTGGTCTCCATGCCCAGTGGATCTCCACCTTAAGTTGACTGGATGCGATTTCTTCCTCAGCAAGAGAACAGTTACCTTCACCGGTCTTTTCTGGTGGTTTTGCACCGACAGGACGATAATAATGTTGCTGGTACAACTATCGTTCTCAAGAACAGTCATTTAGACTTGAGTTAACTCTAGAAGGGCGTTGAGAAATGGTCTATAGCCAGCCTCCACCGGCTATGTATGGGAGACAATTTACGGCAGAGGTCGAATGTCTGTAAACTACAATGTCCTTTACTGTTTTTCTCGTTGTGTCAAAGGGAAATTGTAAGCATCCCGTGAGACCACGTCAATTAATCAATACGAACCTAACTTGCGCGCACAAAAGACCTTGACACAACCAGTCAATTTACTCGCAGTTTGAGAGCCAGACCTGATTGGCTCGCCATAAGATTGGCCCCGTTCCATTGGTTTATCGCTATCTGTTCCTAAGTTAACTTGAAACCGATGGGTTTTCTTTAATTTTCAGTTGAAGAGATAAAAGCGGAATATCGTCTTCAGAACTATATCCAAGTGTGTGCCTGTATGGAGCAACACGTGAATGATAAGAGAAGCGAATTAACGAATCAAAACTTCTCCAGACGTACTCACCATGTACAAGGTACGTGGCTTCTATAATAATAATATAAAAAGCTGTTCAGAATGTGGGAATTTGGCACGCCATTCGTGAAAAGAGGCATATCCGGATGAAGTGTGCATATCTTAACCGAGGTCATCAATAAAAACGTCAGCGTAAATGGGAAAGTCCTTGATGTTTAACCTCCACATGGCACAATACAGTTTAGAGTCAGGTGTGACTTGCTTCGAACACGCTGCATAGGCAGTCAGTTGACCGGTCAGTATCCAGTTTTAACCTTCTCTGGATTGAAGGCTGTCAGAGCGGGGTGAAGTTAGAATGAATGCGATTAGATCAGTTTGTTCAAATAGCAAATGAATCGGCCACTCTCGCATACCTGCGTCGTTCTTGGGATAACCACATTTTGACCGAAGATTGTATCAAGCATTTTTCGCGTGACCTTCACTCGCTCTCCAGTCCAGCCGTGTTTTGTCCATCATAGTATCATGTGATCTGTTGCAGGATATTTTTATCGATTTTATTGACTTCTAGTGGCGTTGCGCCACTACTGAACAGATTCACCACGAGAATTAGACGCCCACTACGAGTGACGGGAATCGTACAACAATCTAAACATTCAACATTCGTACAACATTCTAACATTCGTAAAACATTCAACCAAACGATGTGCAGCGATGAGATACATCAGAAATGACTGCGTAGCGTGGATAAAAACAAGGAAAGTAAGACAGCTTTGTTTACTGATAAAGGGGGAAGTTATTGAATCTAGCTGAATGTCGCTCCAAGTGCTACCACCAACAGTTATGGCATATTAGTTGAACGAGGGTTGCCGCATTCACATGGCACGGGAAGACTATGGTAGAAAAATGGAAAGAGCGACGCTATATCCTGTCGAAGTGAGCACTAATCACTCTGCTGTTCAGCCGTTCAAGGTCGAATGGTTAAGTGGTTAACCAATGGCGCAGAAGTTTGCGCGTTGGAAGCTCTCTGAGTTTTTCGCGGGGTGTGCAAAGCTGATGATTCTCAACAAGGATGAGACAACTGTACAGTGCTTCTCGCCTTCTCAACATTGATTGGCTTCTCTGAGAGGACGAAATCTAAGCTGAAAAATTACCAACCCCCTTCATACTGCCATAAATGCAGTAAAAGGGCCTTACATAAACTGACAGATATGATCGAGCAAAGTGCATGCTGGACATCTTGCCCAAAAGACGTCGGGTATTTCGTGATCTGATATCAGATGATTGCTTTAAACTACCTGACTACTAATTCATATCAAGAGAGTTCGCGCATCCTAATTTAATTGGTAAAATACTCGGTGGAAATCAATACATGACTGGGTGAATCCGTGAAAGATGTCCGTTGATTGATTTTTCATCTTAATTGGACCGGAGAAAGGTAAAGAGTCATTTGAAGTGAAGTAGTGGGGGTTGACTGCAACAGAGTCGGGATGTTGTGTAACACATGCATCACAGTTTGAGGAAACATAATTTGTAGCGACCAGGGCAACACAATATACACATATGGCCTTAGTTGGTGAGGTTGGTCAACACATGTTGTGGGTGAGTAGGTTCCACAGTCTCTTAACGCCCTCTTATTACCGTGAAACCCGGTCTGGTTAGCCGCCTGATCGCCTGGTGCGCCTAACCAAACCAGAAAATGTCAATGAACGTGCGAACCGGCTGATCTATTGATCACTGTCGCGTACAAGCGGGTCAAAAAGTGATACTGAGAATACAACTCATCTGTCAATGGCGAGTGAAGAACAACCAATGAAATTTGTCTCGACGAAAACGGTTATTCTATTGGCTGTTATGTAGCCCCTTACGTTCGGAGCTAGTTCTCCTGATATAAGTGTCATTTTGATTTGTTTGCTAACTGCAAAGGTTCAATTCCTTTATGAAATACTTTTGCGTACAAAGCGACTGACATAAATGGCCCTAGCAACGCTTATGGATGTATCCTCATTGATCATGATTGATTGGCGATACTCCGTCTTGAAGGTATTACAACTCATCATCATCATCAGCTGTAAAAACCGCGTACTTGCCATTCAGTGGTTGTAGCTATCAAAATTTCGTCCACCGATGATTTTGGTGGGGGGAGTGGGGTAGGTGGCTGCGCACTGGTGGTGGGAGCTGATAAATTGGCTATCAATGGACTGTTAAGTGCGGGAATTGAAAAGGAAGCTATGCGTTGGAGGAAATAGCTTGTATGCATGAGTGCCACTGAAAGCGTGACTAAGCCATGTCTGACAGCGTCACTAACCATTAATATGGCACGTTTCAAAGTACGCATCCAGGCGATTCCCAGGGCAGTTAAGTTTTCTGGTAATGGCTTTTATACTTCCCTACCAAGTAATTGTTTGACCGCCTCTGGCTACGTGGTTGTGCGAGAACAGCCCTTCGAGGAATTCGGTCGACTAGCATACGGAGCACGTGGTCAAGCCAGCACAACCTATGTAGTGTGATCAGTTCATCTATCGAGGGTGAGTTATTTCTCCCGAATTCCATTCGATGTACTTCAGCAATGAAGTACAGACCAGACCAGAAGTACCACCAGACTCAGGCAACCCTCCGAAGACATCGGTGGCACCACGTCAAAGTGGCAGCGTTAGGCCGATGCTCTTTTTAAGATGTCACACACGCGAGTCCCATGTTTTGTCTTGCAACTGAACTGTTGAGCATTCCAGTGACAGATAACTTCTAGTGCTCCCAATACGCAATGCCCTAGGTGTGGGGACCGCGTGATCCTCACCGTGCCTGGTTGGAGACACTACAAGGTATGGCTGCCAACCGATGTCAGTGGCGTTCTTGTTGTCAGTTTTTATCCAGA